GGAAAACGAGCAGCAGTTTAAATCTAACTGGCCTTCGGCGGTGAATAAGGTCGATACTATATCATACTAATCTCTACATTGATTCAATAACTCATTCCACACTCAGTGCTCGGTGGATCAGCAATTCAAGACGCGTGCCTTTTACCAGATAACCATGGCAATACAGTAACAGAGGGTGGGCATGAGATCGACCACAAGAACCAGTAAGGAAGAGTAAATATCGAACCAGGTACGGAAATTAGTGCGGATTTATCTCTTTCGGAAAACAATAAAAACCCGGAAAACGCGGAATCATGTCAGAAGCGACCAAGGACGATCTACGGAAGGAATTTGCCGGTGAATGCTGAATGAAATACGAAGCGTTAGAGAAAAAGTACAAGGGACTTCAAAAGAAGCAATCAATGGCGGCAGACCAGCGGAACATGGTGAGACCGATCCAATTATTATTTATAAATTAAACATCAAAATTTAACTAAATACGCGCTAGGTTTGAAACAAAAATCGAACCTGGAAGTGTGTATGTAATACTTATATCCAATTGATAGAGGTAATACATACATGCGGGGCTTATTGCAAGGGGCTGTTCATTAACTACGTAGGCAGATTTTTGGGATTCTTGACCCCCCCTCCCCCTGCGTAGACAATTTTCCATACCGTGGATAATTCTCAACACCCCCGCCCCCTAAACTGTCTACGTAGTTTATGGACAGCCCCTAACTGAAAGTAACCTCGGAATGGGCGTGACTCTCCAGACATTCTGAAATGGGTTGCTGGATCTGCAATAGAGCTATCACCTTCTAACTCCCGGACTAAAGCTGTCTACAATGACCATAAATGCGGCATTGTAGAGAGAGTTCTTCCATAATAACACTCCCGGCCAGTGAGGGTTAGAAGGAATACACACACACACTGGAACTATTTTTCAAAATTGTGATTACATTAGAGTTTGTATGGTAACCTGCCAATTTGCTAGTTAAGTATCAAAAATCGATGATATTCTTCTCTTCATCGAAAAACATATAGTTGTGCTCAGAAAACAAAGGACATTTAGATGATGTGGAATAACCAATAGATATTTTAAAACTAAAGAACTCCATTGAACTGTGTGTTTGTACAGTCAGGAATCCTTATTGCCGGGGTAACCGCGAATATGGATACCCACTAGACTGATGCAAAATTTGACTTTTTCGCTCCACAGTGCTTAAATGGTTTCAAATTGGGTCCTGGTCAGTCTCCCAAAGTTACAACTCATTTGGATGGAAACAGACTTCGCACAAGCCATTTGAAGTTTACATGTAAATTACTATGGGAAATCTCAATTTTTTGTTCATTGCCTTCTAGTCTTTTTGCATATTGAGCTGCGAAACAGTTCGATAGCTATTCTTATAGAAAATTCAGCTACAATTTTGCTGAAGATTGTTTCTATGTAAAACGAGACAGAAAAAAGTTATTAATTATTTAAGAGATTGGTAAACTTATGACATGATCAAGCAGCTGCTCTGTAGGCAACACTGTATTTTGCAGTGTGACATAGTAGCCATGATTTGTGTGTCCTATTCAACGCCCCAGAAACACCAATGTTGCCTGCTGAGCAGTTGATTGAGCATGATCATAAGACATCAGTGCATTGAACCATTGATAACATTCGATCCTTGCATTTAATTAAAAAGTGATCTTCAGCAAAGTTGTAGCTGGGAAAATTTCCTACAAGTACAATTGAAAACTTTTGAAGCAGACCGATATGGTGAATTGTTAGATAGGCATGAACAAAAATCTTGGTTTCACCATAGTAATTCCCATACAAACTTCAAATGGTTTGTGCCATCTCAGTTTCTCACCAAATGGGTTCAAATTTTGAGAGGTTAGTCAGAATCCGATTTGGAATCGTTTAAGTATTGTGGAGCGAAAATTTCAAATTTTGCATCACTCTAATACCCACAGCTTATGGGATTTTCACTAATGGGGGTTGTAGTGGATTATCTCATTTGTTTCAATACATAAAGCTATACTGTCTTCGACAAAGTTGCTGTACTGGGTTAGACCAACAAGCCTGTGCCATTGGATTTGGGTTAAATTGAGAACTACGCCGCTAGAGGCGCTTCACTTTTATGTTACTTATGACGGGCGCTATAATATATGGATCATATTTCCAACATAGAATATTTCGTGATCCTGGCCATTTAGAAAGTTACTGTCTTCGCAAAGTTGTTCAGGTGACAAAGTCCTTTCGGATGGTGGCCATATTAGTTCAGAACTCTCTCACTACGCAGCACTAGTGTGCATGTGCAATTCCTATATAAACTGTATCTCGAGAGCCTGGCCATATAGAAAGTTGCTGTTTTCAGCAAAGTTGTGCAGGTGAGCAAGTCCTTTCGGATGATCGTCATATTAGTTCAGAACACGCTCACTACGCGGCGCTAGTGTGCAAGTGAATTTCCTGTATAAGCTGTGTCTCGAGAACCTGGCCATATAGAAGGTTACTGTCTTGAGAAAAGTTGTTCAGGTCACTAAGTCCTTTCGGATGATGGTCATATTATTTCAGAACCCTCACACTACGTCGAGAAGTGATTACTCCACAAACAAATAAGCTATTCGTGATCTAAGAACGTCAATTTGAAGGTTTTTAAATGTAGATTCTTGTTTGTGTACCCATATTTTGTTTTTTTATTATTGTAACTACAGTAAACAGGTTGACTACCGCTAGATATCCAAATTATCAAAAAATAAAAAATAGATATTAAATAGCATTGATCTTCCACCAAAAAACTTCAAAACTCCCTCTCACTCATCTGGTCATATCTGAAAAACTATTTGTACCCTTCGAAACACATCTAGTAGAAGAGTTTTCCAAAGTGTGGTGAAAATTGGAGCCCAAAATATTAAGAAATAAAAAATCCCGTCCATGGTGAAAATAGGCCATGTTTTGACAATTTTGATACCTGCTGATTACCGTCTGTTTACTGTAGTTTATGTAACAAAAACAAAATGTGGGTACACCTATAAAAAATAACATTAAAAAACCTTCAAATTGACGTTCTAAGATCACGAATGGCTTAGTTGGATGGGGAGTAATTTCTTCTGAAAGTTGAAATTTTTAAAATCTCCAAAATCCAGGGTTGTAGCCCAGAAGGATCTAGGCACTTTGGAGTAAAATCAAAAAAAGCGTTTGTTCAGAATACCAAAATAAGCGTTTTGGCCAAGTTTGGCTCAAATCGGTGACATCGACCGCAACTTTTTTTAAATTCTGTACCCACTTGAGCTGGAATGACCCAGGGTCCAAACCACAAGCGGTAACCAACTCGGTAAACCAACTCCATCAGTTACTCCGATGGTTCAGTTAGTCGTAGAAGTGTCGGCATTTGGGTTACCCTGGGTATTGCGAACTCTGTCGGTTTAATTTTTCAAGTGACCAAGAAAACATTTTGAAAATCTTTTGAAGCTTCAAATTGTTTTGTTGAAACAGCTCACGAAATCGTATATACATGCTGTCAAATGAACTCTTGGCTCCTCCTTCTCTGCTCCACAAATAACGTATACATGGTGTTGGAAGTGCACCTGCCCACAAAGCTCACATGATTTTATAAAGTTTGATTAAATTCTTTTTGCAGCAGTTCGTAACCCTTTTTTGGAATTATTATTAATATCAAATAAAAACACTTATTCGAGCATCAAGTTCGATGATTTACATTATCCGCCTACTAAGGTTGATGTGTCGACAGTTTCATAATTATAATTCTTAATTTGATTTCAGCAGGTGGCAATACCTTTACTTGTGGTTCAAACAGTAACTACCCACATGACTTCTGAGCTCTTTTGAATGTTTGGTTCCCGTTTGACAGTTCAACTCGGCTCCAAGATGACCAGCATTTTGAGTTAGTTCACAGTACTCAGGGGTTACCGGCCCACAAATGTCAGAATGTTTTCAACTACCTAAACAATAATCGATCTAGCCGGCGCCGGTGGTGTAGTGGTAATCGTGACTGCTTCCTAACACCCCAATGGGCATAAAAATCTCTGGTCACGTCTTCCTTCGCAAGGGAAGTAAAGCCGTTGGTCCGGGCCCATGTGTGTTGTTGTGCATGGGTGCGATATCCTACGCAGGTGTGGAAGCTGCCTTCCTGCACATTCGGTTGCCGTCAATGGATGACAATCGATGTCTGTCGGTGATTGGCACTAGATTGCGGAACAGAGACCGACGTTAAATAAGGGAAAAAAGAAGAATAATCGATCTTTTCTGCCTTTATTTGCCGCCACCACTCCGATAAATTAATCGCCATATTTACGGATTCAGCCAGCGTGGTTGAAGCTATTCAAACCGATACCACGAAACACCCATGGATCTAGGGCATACAAATGAACGCGCCCTATAGCACCACCTTCGCATGGATCCCTACTGTGGGATTCGTGGTAACATTGTGGCTGATCACCTGGTGGCTACTGAAAGGCAGGCTACGTTATACACCCAAGAGATTCCTGAGAATGACCTAAAATGTGGATCTCAGAGATTATCCAGGACACATGGGCAGTTGAATGGAGCCAAAAAAGAGAACCATTCATCCGAAGGGTTAAGGGAGACTGACTCTGACCACCACTGAACTCAGATCATAACATTGTGGCAGAGGACAGGACATAGCAAGTTTTGATCACCACTTCTCGGCAGCCGGTCCCTTCAGATGTGAAACCTATCAAGTTCCCCACTCAGTGGAATACGTGTTGTGCTGCTGCCCGTAATACCAGGGCCCTCGTGACTTCTATGGGATATCAGAAAACATTCGTGACGCCCTCTCCAACGACCCCACCAGGATTGCGGTCCTCAACAAGTTTAAACCTATCAATATACCTCGATTATCGTAGTGCCCACGGGCTTTCCCATCAATTAAACTTCGAACCACTAAAATTAAAATAAAATAAAGAGATGAAACTAGCCCAAAAATCATCATCGGAGTATGCTAAAAGACATCGATACATTACCTTTCCACTTTTAATGAGAGATCAATTACCTTATGCGCTGCGTACCTAAAACGAAAAAAAAAGTGCTCAATTAATCTCCAAGCACAATCATTAGATTGAAAATAAGGGCCCAGTAGCAGAGCTTCAACAGTCAGAAACAATCAGTTTTTTTTTTTTTTGTTTTAATATCTATTCAGCTTCCATCGACAGCCAGCCACTTCCATCAGTGCTGCCTCGCCATTCAGCTAAAATGGCATCTCACTTCCATCTCCATAGGACGCAAAAAAAACGAAAACTTTTCCAATCACTCGAGGATCAAAATTCTCGAACTGATCCAGCACCGAATAGGCTCGGGAGAATAATTCCACAGGAAATCATTTTCACAAATTGATATTACTTCCTCCTGCACTTAAGCAAACAAACCAACCAACATTGCGTGGTCTATGATTCGGCATGTTTGCTCCTTGCAGGTCCTAGTGCACAGCGCAAGAGATTGAAGGCGGTGTGGAAAGAAACCTCAAAAGTTAATTTTACGACATCGTCAAGAACCATTCGATTGGATTTTGCCGGTGCCTGTAATCTTGCAAGTGGGTTTCCCCCGGAAAACAAAAGTATATTTGGCTAGAAGTGGAAAAACTACGGGCAAGTCAATAAAACTTGTAATTTAAAAGCCATTTCGGAACGTTGGGATTAAATTCCTCGAGTGCCACCGTTGCCGTCAGGCCGCGTTGTGTTGGAGGAAAACGGGAAGCAGAAGCTGTCACTCGCTCCCCGGACAAGGGCAAGTTTGTGCATAATAAGCGAAGTTTGTTTCCGGAGCGCGAACTTTTCCTCCTGCTTCCAGCTGTGCAGCTTTGCGACTCAATCCCACTAACGACCGCCGATTATGTTCTCTCTCTCTCTTGCCCTTGCTTCACCGCCGAGCGGCGACGCACTGGCTATGGCGACCGTGAGGGTGATGAGCCCTTCTTGGAAGAAGCTGGATACGAAACTGCAGACTGTAGCATAAATTTGGACTAGAAAGTGCTGCTCACTTGGACTGGCAGCAAAATTGGAGATCGCTGGAATTTCTGGTCTTGGGATGACGATACTGATGACGGTAATGACGATGATGCTTTCACTGAATTCCTTCGTTTCTATATGTTTGTGTACGAACCTAGAAACTAAGAGATGGCCTGAGGGAAGCATAATTTGATCCTGTGCTGTTATAGTTCCCTTTGCTTTAACAAGAACTTACGGCTGCCTGGTGGAAAATAGGTACAATGCTATGAAACTCTGTCGAGCAGGATAAATATTTGCCTCGTGCACATGGAATGCTTGTAAAATTGTTTGTAGTGAAATAAATTTTATTTCGCTGACGGGATCTCTTCATTCCATGGTGTTGGGTCAACAGTGAAGGAGCAGCAATATTGGACATAGCTCATCTTTTACCTTTTTGGATATCCCAGGAGGTGAAAGTTGAGTTCAAAGTACTAGAAAGTACCGATATCTATATTAAATAACTTATCCCGACTATTCCTGTTTGGGGGCTGCTAGCATGGACTATGCGAGACAATATAACATTTTTGCATACAACGATGTTTGCTTGGTAGTATCAATTATGCTGTTGGCAATTTATCGTACAGCAGTTCTAAACATTATAGCTGTTTCTAGTTCATGTTTGTAATTTGTTTTCAAGCATTGATTTGCTATCTTTAGCGCTGATTGGCATAATATGTTATTGACGTAGACTACGTCTTACGGGAAGGTACTGGGGGTAAAACGAGCATCTAAAATTGCAACCGTCACGAAAAGGTGTAAGGTTTTGAACGCTTATAACTTTGTCATTTATAGATGAAATTAAAATCTAAATACACCAATCGATAGGAAATAACTCTCATAATCTGCTACAATAAACGCTTTTACAATTTTCCATAAAAAAAACTGTTGAAAAATGTGCAAATTAAAAGTGATAATTTTATCGCTGTTTTCACGAAATAAACGTTCTCCCTAAACCCAGTCGTCATAATCGAGTACCATTTGGGTGCACATCGTGCAGCTTGAATCTGAAAAGTTATAAAACAGGAACAAAGGACTTATTAGCTTTTGTAAACAACGCATTTTATCGTCGGTTTGGTGTAACTGATAGCTCACCCATGCATACTAACACCACTATACCAGGTAGGGGAGAATTTTCCTTATCTGATGGTAGTGTTAGCATGCGTGGGTGAGCTACCAGTTACACCAAACCGCCGATAAAATGCGTTTTTTTACAAAAGCCTTCGAAAAAGTAATCGAGAAATACTTCTTGGGCTGTGTCCCAATTGGCGAGTTAAATTTAACTTGTGGTTAAACGTGACATTTCGAAAGTTATTTTCAATGTTCGAAAATCCCGGAAATTGATCGGTTTTCAAACAGAACTCAGCCTCGGTTGCCAAAATTTAACTTTTAGTCGGTCAGAAATAACCACGATTGGATAGCAGTTATTCGATAACTCACGAGTTAAATTTAATTCGCCCATTGGAAAACAGCCTTGGTAGTCAAATTAGAGATCATCCATAAATAACGTAGAATTTTTTTGATCAATTAACCCCCCTTCCTTCTCGTAGCGTGTTTTGCTATACCTAATACATGGCCAACTTCTAAAACACCTCTCCCCCCTAAACTATTTCGTTATTTATGAAAGTTCCCTAAGCATTGGGCAACAGTGAAAATCAGCAGCACACACACAAAACGGGTTGGACATTTATGCGAAATTTTGGTATTGATCGTGAATATCTCGCGATCAGAATATTTTAGCTTGAAATCTCTTCATTTATTTAATTCTCGGTACATCTTTTATCTATTGATTGAATTTCAAAAAATACTAAATGGGGGAAATGTAGGAATTTTCGGCCTACATGTCCCTAATTTGGGCTCATCGCTAAAAGTCTGCTATTTATCAATTTTATCGAGATGAACGCGTCATTAGGACGGTACTAATAGATATTTTTGGTCGCTTTTGAAAATTTAGCCGATTCCTGAATTTATGCGGAACGAAAGCGGAGTACGAGGTGGCCGTGAAATATCTGAAGGATTCCAGGGCGGAATTCTTCACGCACGACATCCCCGGTGAGAAGCCCTTCAAGGTAGTCATCAGGGGTCTACCAAACTCAATGCGCTGCAAGCCATCCGAACGATCTACTCCATCATCGTACGGTGGGAGCCATACCGTGGTGGCCATCGTGACGTAACTCAGTGTCAGAGGTGCCTCAATTTTGGACACGGTACCCGCAACTGCAACATCAAGCCACGCTGCAGCAACTGCGCTCACGAACACGCCACTTCTGACTGCTTTGCGGATGGAGCCGTGGCGTTAAAATGCGCCAACTGTGGTGATGCACATCAAGGTTCCGACAGGCAGTGCTCCAAACGCGAGGACTTTAAACGCATCCGGACAGCAGTGGACTAGCGGCTAAATTCAAGAAGGACCTGTCCATTATCACCCGTACCGGTTCCCGCTTCGTAGTTGGATGAGATCTAAATGCTTGCTATGAGGCCAGAACCAGAACGGTCGTCTGCTGTTCGACCATTTGCAGCTTGGGCTGTACTTCGTTCGGTTTACGAATGAGCCTACATTTATCTCACCGGCGGGCAACCCATCGACGCTAGACCTGTTCCTGACAAATACCGGCTTGTCCAAGCCGGTAGCCTTGAACGAACTCAGCTCCGACCACCAACCGGTTATGGCTGAACTGGGCTACAACGTGGCCTCTGCTTCAAGTCTGCACAAGGATTACCACCGCGAAAACTGGGCCCAGTTTGGACGCGTGGTAGACAGACACATCATCGTCAACCCACCGCTTGACTCCGTGGAAGACATCGACCGAGCGTTGGAGGGACTCCACCAAGCCATAACCGTGGCTGACGAGGCGTGCGTCCGACGAGTTTCTGTGAAGGGTAAGTTTATTGCCATTGATTCCCACATCCAACTCTTGATTCGCCTGAGAAATGTTCGTAGACCCCAGTTTCAGAGGACTGGAGATCTGGGCAAAAAACGTGAAATGGCCGATCTGAACAAGGAGATTGCTTCCAGAATGGACTCACTCCGAAATGAAAGTTTCGGGCGTGTTGTCCAGAACCGCTCCAGACCATTATGGAAGGTAGCCAGATCCTGAAAACTCATCCCAAACCCGTTCCACCTCTCAGAGTCGAAAATGATCACGATCGGCTTTTAATCACCCCACAGGAGAAGGCAAATGCGATCGGCGAGCATGTCACTTCATCGCATTTGCTTGGCTCGAATATCCAAAGTCCGCTCGAAGATCAGGTTGCGCAATGCGTTCAAAACCTTGTGTCGTGCCTCCGGCGGATATGATTACAGTACAACAGATTTGCTCAGCACTGAAATGCACCAAGAACATGAAGGCTCCCGGGTTTGACGGTATATTCAACTTGATCTTGAAGAGACTCAGCATGAAAGTGCAGTCTCTTCTAACCGCTATCTTCAAAAGATGCTTGGAACTGCACTACTTTCCAAGCATCTGGAAAGTAGCAAAAATCATACCAATTCGCAAACCCGGAAAGGATCCAACATTGCCTTCAAGCTACAGACCAATCAGCCTCCTTTCAGCGCTGAGCAAATTGTTCGAAAAACTCATTCTCAATCGTTTGCTCAAGTTTGTTGAGGAAAATAACATTCTCCTTCCGGAACAGTTTGGATTCAGGAAGGGGCACTCCACCAATCACCAGCTAGTACGGGAATAACATCCGAAGTATCAAGGCTGTATCCAAGTCCACAGCCATGGCCTTGCTAGACGTTGAAAAGGCGATTGTCAATGTTTGGCATTACGGACTTGTGTACAAGCTTTGTAACTTCAACTTTCCTTTACATGTGGTTAAAATCACCCGTAACTACCTCCAGCAAAGGTCGTTTAAGGTATCGTTGAATGGCTGCCTTTCAAACACGTTTTCCATCCCAGCAGGAGTCCCGCTAGTCTGCTGGGCCCCTTGCTTTACAGCATTTACACTTCCGACATTCCTCCCCTCGGTGACGGTTGCGTGTTTTTCCTGTTTGCAGATGATACCGCAATAGCCGTCAAAGGAAG